CGACTCCCGGGAGTCGGGGAGAGGGGGTACCAGGACTCCAGGAAATGGGAAGACACCAAAGATGACTCAGGGCTCTGGCAGGGGTACCCTAGAGCCTCCGGCTTCACCGTGCAGTCTTATCCCTGCCTAGAAAAAGTTCACTGAAGCTGGAAAAGTTAGCGATGTTTTCCTTTTACTAGTGTGAAAGGGAGACGTGGGTGGGCTGTGGCACGCGTAATCGAAGAGGGATATCGCCCCTTTCCATCGCGGCTCATCAGCGGCCGGGTAGTAGGGCAGGACGGTTTGGGGGAGTCTCTCGAGTGTTTGGGGGGTCGTGTACGTGTTCTCTTTCCCCTGGGTGAGTCATAGAAGCGGAGGAGTGCCCCCCATCCAGCTGCCAGCCAGCTGTGTGCTCCCCCCATTAGTGCCAGGGTCGAGTTGGGAGGTCTTGGATGCGGGATCCAGATCTCTGCTGGAACGGGAGGAGTTAGGGAGGGTAAAGCCCAGGCTGCGGGGCTCGGGCTGGGTTGTAGGGTACGGATGCCGCTCCCCATTTTACCCCGCCCTCACCCTAAACCCCAGCGTCCCAGGATCACCCACCGCGCCGGCCGGCCCGCTCCCGGTTGTTCTCCACCCCACCCAGCCCCGCCCCACCCTCGCTCCCGGGAGATCGGAAAACCTGGGATGGAGTAGACACTGGAGTTTGAGAAGAGAAGAGCAGCACCTTTTCCTTCCTCCTTACTCCTCTCTAAAGGATGGTGACTTTTTTATTCTCTTAGAGCATTCCCTAACTGTCCCTTTCCTGTTTCCCCAAAAGAGACTAAAAGAGTTAGATGGGCCAAGATCCAAACAACCCCAGAATGATATCAGCTTCCATCCTTTCTACCCAATGGACTCAGAGGGTCCCCTCAGAAACTACTACACAGAATTTTTTGTGTAGAAGGCAGACAGATCCTTTGGGCTCCTTTCTGGCCCCACCAGCCTGTGTCTGGACTGTGGCGAGGGCTCCCTCTGCTGAACACTGAAGAGATTGCAGATGGGGTGTCCCTAGGTTCGGGCAAGAGGAAAATGATAGAGCTCTCACCTTGAGCAGCCCAGCTCAGGAAGTCAGACCCTCCACTAAGGTTTGCCCAGCGCTCACCTCCTCATAGCCAGCCCATGCATCACAATCGCCTGAAATTTGTATTGGCTTACGTGGACAGTTACCATCTCTCTACGCACGTACACACACACTCACACCCACACCCAGAACACCCAGGCGAAGCAGCTCCCCAGTTCCCAAAAAGACCCCCCAAGACTGGCTGAACTTGGTGTCATGTCATGCTCCTGTAGTCCCAATAGAGTACAAATTCAAGCCCAGACTGGGCAATTTAGTGAAACCTTATCTCAAAATACTTTTTAAATGTGGGGGGAGGGGTCTTGTTGGAGACTATTAGAGTTCATTGTGAAGGCCCTAGGTTCAAATCCCACTACCAAAACAAAACAAAACAAGAGACCATCTACAAGACTGTCTCTACCTTTTTGGGATATTTGCTCTTACCCTCGCTGACAGAGTGATGGTCTTTGCCACCCATGGCTGATGCCCTAAAGAGGCTGGAGGCACAGGGGATGTGATGGCCGGGATTCTGTGCCTTACAGTGTCACTCCATCTTCCCATTTTCCCTCTATCGTTGTGACTCAGAGACCTGCTTTCCCCTTCTGCAGTATCCACACACACTCCTCTGGGACGCGATGTTCAACTCCATGACCCCACCACCTGTCAGTAGCTATGGTGAACCATGCTGTCTCCGACCCCTCCCCAGCCAAGGGACCCCCAGCATGGGGACAGAAGGTCAGTGCATTCACCAGTCCCTGGGATTGAAGATTTGGCAGCTCCCTCATCTAGCTCCATTCCTATCCCGTACTAGTTTGCCTTCTATAGGAAGATCTGAGGCCCCATGTCATATAGCCTTGGAATTTGGGTTCAGGTCTCGCTTGAGGTTTCAAGGTGAGGCCTAGGTATCCTCTATCCCCATCCCCCACCCCAGACATCTCTTTTCTAGGTCTGTCTGGTCTGCCCTTCTGCCACCAAGCCAACCTCATGTCAGTCCCCCACAGTTATGGACCAGCCAGAGAAACCAACAGCTGCACTGAGGGTGAGGCCTCAAGCACATTTCTTTCATCACTGCCCCTCTGGGATTTGTTCTGAAGAAGAAAGTGGGAGGGGTAGGGATTTAATTTGGAGGAAGAAATGATCAGAGATGTAAGGAGCAGAGAATAATGACAAGGCCACAGATGAACTCAGCGGGGCAAGTCAGGTATCATTTTTTGCTGAGGGAAAGGATCCCCAGCTTGGGTGCATAGAGACATGGTCCTCTATCATATCTCCTGTGTGTCCTGCTCCAGGGCCACTCTTTCCTCCTCCCCGGAGTGCAGTCAAGCTGTCCAAGAAGCGAGCGCTTTCCATCTCACCTCTGTCAGATGCCAGCCTGGACCTGCAGACAGTCATCCGCACCTCGCCCAGCTCCCTTGTGGCCTTTATCAACTCACGCTGTGCATCTCCAGGAGGCTCCTATGGCCATCTCTCCATTGGCACCATGAGGTGCAGGCAGCCCTAGGCTTAGAAGCCCCTAAACTCCCTACTGAAACCTATTAAAAGCCTTTCGCCTGCCAAACCCCAAGCCCTTATCACTTCAAAGGCACTGAAACACCTCAGAATTTCCCTGGGATTGCCTCAGCCAAACTTCATATCGAGTCATCTAGAAACCCCCAGATAGTCCAAGGATTCCTGACACTTTCTCATAGTTTTCACTAATTGTCACCTCTTCTCCTCAGCCCATCTCTGGGATTCCCACCCCAGATGAATCACCAGAAAGGGGCCTCACCTTCCTTTGGGGTCCAGCCCTGTGGTCCTCATGACTCTACCCGGATTGGGGTGATGCCACATCCTCAGTCCCGGGGACCCCTCCCAACTTGTCAGGTGAGAGTCACTATTTTGCTATGTGATTTCTTCCAGCTCAGAGTAGGTGGGTGGTGGACTTTGAAGGAGGAAAGTCTAGGGAGTACAGGAGACAGAAGTTTTCGGTACCAGAAAATTAGAGGCATGGGTTGCTGAGGGCTTGCTCCTTGGGTTTGACTGAGACTCTTCCAGGTGAGATTCCATCCTTTTCCCAGTACAGTCCTGGGAGGAAGTTCCTTCCCCAGCTAGGGATTCTGCTGCCTGGGTGGGGCACTTGGGACAGAAAGACCTGGCTGGGTTCCCTTTTTTTTTTTCTTACTTCTACCCTCATCGATTTTACCTCTCCCCTGGAGAAGCTGAAGTCAGAACTGGACTTGCTGGTTGGCAAGTGCCAGGAGGAACCCTTGGAAGGTGATATGTCCAGCCCCAACTCCACAGGCACACAGGTAAGGGAAGGGGTGAGGTCTTACCTTCGGGACCTGGGAAGAATAAAAGCTGTGACCCTAAGATTGCCTGTCCTGCTCTAGGATCCCCTGTTAGGGATGCTGGATGGGCGGGAGGACCTGGAGAGAGAGGAGAAGCCTGAGCCTGAGTCTGTGTATGAGACTGACTGCCGCTGGGATGGCTGCAGCCAAGAATTTGACTCCCAAGAGCAGCTGGTGCACGTGAGCCCCAGGGGGTAACAGGAATGGCTGGCTGGACCCTGTCAGAGACCCTGAGTGGGACATTATAGAGTCTGGCTGAGGGCAGGAGTCTGAGGATATTGAAGTGAGAGGTTGAGTGCTCTGATGGGCAGGCAAAGGCTCAGAAAGCTGTAGCTTTGCTTTGCAGAATTGAGACCCTAACATGTGGGATATATGTTTCTTCCCCCCATGAGGTAGAGTTGAGAAGAGGAATAGGGGGTTCTGTTCTGGGTTTACAGGGATGGGGGACCTTGGAGAGCCTTTTCATCTTCTCCTTCAGCACATCAACAGCGAGCACATCCATGGGGAGCGGAAGGAGTTTGTGTGCCACTGGGGGGGCTGCTCCAGGGAGCTGAGGCCCTTCAAAGCCCAGTACATGCTGGTGGTGCACATGCGCAGACACACGGGTGAGAAGCCGCACAAGTGCACGGTGAGACGCCTGTTCCCAAGCCCAGAGTTCCTCCCTAAATTGGCTTCCCATCAAGATAGGGTCCAAAGCAGACTTCTGCATTCATTGGTCCCTTCCTCCACAAACATATTTTTAAAAATCTTAATGCTGGGCATGGTGAAATATTAAAAATAATACCAGGAGCTGGGCATGGTGGGCACACGCCTGTTAATCCCAGCACTCAGGAGGCTGAGGCAGCAGGATCACTGTGAGTTCAAGACCAGCCTGTAGTGAGTTCCAGGGCAGTCTCAACTACACAGTGAGGCCCTCTCTCAAAAAAAACAGGGACACTCAAGAAGCCGAGGCAGGAGGATTCTGAGTAATTGAAGGCCAGCCTGAACTACATAGTAAGACCCTCAAAAAAAGAAAAGAAAAGAAAGAAAAAAAAAGCCAGGTTTGGTGGCATACGCCTATAATCCCAGAGTTCTAAGAGGCTGAAGTGGAAAGATTGCAAGTTCAAGCCCAGCCTGGACAATTTAGCAACTTAGTAAGACCGTTTCAAAATAAATTTTAAAAGGCTTGGGACGTAGCTTAGTTTGAAGCCCCTGGGTTCAATCCTCAGTATTACAATAACAACAATAAAATCTTATATATGATTATATTGGTCATTTAAAAAGATGAACAGTGGGCCAGGGATTTAGCTCAGTGGTTCCCCCCCCCCGCCTGCCTTGCAAACACAAGGACCTGAGCTCGATCCCCAGTACCAAGAAAAAATAAAAAAAGCTGGGTGTGGTGGCGCACACCTGCAATCCCAGCACTCAGGAGGCTGAGGCATAAGGATCACTGTGAATGTAAGACCAGCCTGGGCTACACAGTGAGTTCGAGGGCAGTCTGAACTACATAGTGAGATCCTGTCTCTTAAAAAATGAAAAACAAAAAGATGAACATATTAACATATGTTAAGACACTTTCTCAGACCTAAATGCTTATCTTTTTTCCTTGATTTTAAAATAAATTCATGTATTTTGTGGGTCCCTTCATGTATTGTGGGTCCTCAGTACTCTGCCTTCCACTCTGCGCAGTGGGTAAGTCCTGCATCCAGGACACAAGACACTTGCATAAGCCTTTCCCAGGTGACCCCATTCTCTGCCAGTCTAAGATTCCCAGGTAAGGAAGCTTGCTCTGGCTTGACCATGAGGTACTCACTCCCCAGCAACACACTCCTAATGGTAGAGTGCCTCCAGCTGCTTCTCTTCCTCCGCTTCACCTGCCCTTGTCCCCCAATTCTGAGAATTCTCCTGAGCCCCAGTGCCCTCCCATGCTGAGTTATACTTTCTGATGTATGTCCCTTTTGAGGTTTAGGGCTCCTTTAATCTACATGTGTGTCTGTCTGAGAGCCATCCTTTGATCCATCTATGTCCCCTAGTTTGAAGGGTGTCGGAAGTCATATTCACGCCTTGAAAATCTGAAGACACACCTGCGGTCACACACGGGTGAGAAGCCATACATGTGTGAGCACGAGGGCTGCAGTAAAGCCTTCAGCAATGCCAGTGACCGCGCCAAGCACCAAAATCGGACGCATTCCAATGAGGTGAATGCCCCAACTAAGAGGTCCTCCCCACTTGAGAAGCCACCTATTGGGGAGATTCCCCCGTAGGAAATCCCATAGCACCCACTGCACAGAGGTGAGTTCCCCCACTTACGTAATTCATCCAGGATCACCTTTCTGAAACCAAAAATTGCCACTTGCCACTAACCAGCCAGGGGCCAATTTAAAACAGACCTGGTCTCCTGGAGACCTCTGATCCCTTCAAGCCCAGAATTTATGAGGCCCCAGCCATCTTTATCTTTCTTAGGCCTGGGTCATCAGTTAAGCCTCTCATACTTGACTCCCACCCCCCTTCATCCTTTGGATGCTGTGTCCCTGCTACCCCACTCACTGTCTGTCACCTTCTCCCATTACTCCTGCATTCTTCCACTTTGATCCCTTGGCCTTCTGTCTCCACTCCCCACTCCACAGAAGCCATATGTGTGTAAGCTCCCTGGCTGCACCAAACGCTACACAGACCCCAGCTCACTCCGAAAACATGTCAAGACAGTGCATGGTCCTGACGCCCACGTGACCAAGAGGCATCGAGGGGATGGGCCTTTGCCCCGGGCACCATCCCTTTCTACAGTGGAGCCCAAGAGGGAGCGGGAAGGAGGCCCCATCAGGGAGGAGAGCAGACTGACTGTGCCAGAGGGTGCCATGGTGAGCTAGCATGGGCGATGGTGCCTCTTAAGCTTCCCCAGCCTGCGCTGCTGATATCTTTCTAGCCCCTTCCTACCCATCTTCTCCTATGCAAGTTGCTCTTCTGTCTCTTCAAGCCAGTCTGCTTGTCTCTTGTCCCAGTGTAGCTCATTGGCCAACCCAAAAATGGGATTTAGAGTTGTGAATTATTTAATTGATTCGACCAATTTACTCCTCAATAACTCTTAATACATTGTTCCTAGCATTTTTTTTTTTAAAGTAAGGTCTTGATATGTAGTTTAGGCTGACCTTGAATTCAAAGTGATCCTCCTCCCTCAGCCTCACAAGTACTGGAATTACAGGCATGTACCACCATGCCTGGCTTGTTCTAACACTTTTACATGTAAAATGTCACATACTCCTCAAGACAATTTTATATGAAAGGAGCTTACTCCTCATTTTCAGGTGAGGAAACTCCAGCATAAAGAAATTGCCCAAGGCCATTGGACTGAGCAAGAATTTGTGGCCTGGCAGTCTGCTCCAGCCTGGGCTCTCTTAAAACATTTCTCTTCTGATTTGTTCCAGCCTCTCACGTACTTAGCCTTTTCTACACTTGTGGTTCCTTTCGGCCCCAGCAGTCACTGGGACACATGCTTCAGCCGTTCACCAAGTTGCAGGGGCTGGGAGGAGCAAGGGTGCCACCCTCAGTCCTCATCTTCCCCACAGAAGCCACAGCCAAGCCCTGGGGCACAGTCTTCCTGCAGCAGTGACCACTCCCCAGCAGGCAGCGCAGCCAATACAGACAGCGGCGTGGAAATGACAGGCAATGCAGGGGGCAGCACCGAGGACCTGTCCAGCTTAGATGAAGGCCCTTGCATTGCTGGCACTGGACTCTCCACTCTTTGCCGCCTTGAGAACCTCAGACTGGACCAGTTGCATCAACTCCGACCAGTAGGGCCCCGGGGTCTCAAACTGCCCAGCCTAACCCATACCGGTGAGGCCTGGGTATAGCAGGTGTTGCTGGGCTGAGATCTGGACCTTTCCTGAGGCTGGGAGGAGGAAGTCACCCCTTCAGGGCTGCCACGTGGCACCTTTGTACAATTAGAGAAAGGTCCCCTTCTTCAAGGCACTTTTCCTCCCATCTATCAGAAAGTTGTGGCATACAAATATAGAAAGTCTAAGATGTGGATGCTGTCCCCTAGAATTGTGCAGAGTACAACCTGTATGACTGTTCACAGCAGCCCTGAATCCCTGGTGACCTAGAAGCAGAGTAGACATGCGAGAGGTAGGAGACAGAATTGAGTAGTTAGGGCAAAAGAGCCTAGGACTCCAGAACAAGACTATTCCATGCGGGAGGTGAGGTGAGATGCAGTGAACCCCCCGTGACTACTCTGCCCTTTCTCTCTGTCACTTATAGGCACCCCTGCATCCCGCCGTCTAGGTCCCCCAGTCTCTCTTGACCGCCGCAGCAGCAGCTCGAGCAGCATCAGCTCTGCCTATACTGTCAGCCGCCGCTCCTCCCTCGCCTCTCCTTTCCCTCCTGGGTCCCCACCAGAGAATGGGGCCTCTTCCCTGCCTGGCCTCACGCCTGCACAGCACTACTTGCTCCGGGCAAGATATGCTTCAGCCAGAGCAGGGGGTACCCCACCCACCACAGCACCCAGCCTGGATCGGATGGGGAGTCTTCCTGCCCCTCCTTGGAGAACCCGAGCTGAGTATCCAGGATACAACCCTAATGCAGGGGTCACCCGGAGGGCCAGTGACCCAGCCCGGGCTGCTGACCGCCCTGCTCCTGCCAGAGTCCAGAGGTTCAAGAGTCTGGGCTGTGTCCACACACCCCCTTCTGGGGGTGGACGGAATTTTGACCCCCATCTCCCAACCTCTGTCTATTCACCACAGCCTCCTAGCATCACTGAGAATGTCACCATGGATACTAGAGGGCTACGTGAGGAGCCAGAGGTTGGGACTTCGGTTATGGGCAGCTCCCTGAACCCCTATATGGACTTCTCATCTGCTGATACTCTGGGATATGGGGGAACTGAAGGATCAGCAGCTGAGCCTTATGGAGCTAGGGGTCCAGGTTCTCTGCCTCTTGGGCCTGGCCCACCCAACAACTATAGCCCCAGCCCCTGTCCCCAACAGGTCACCTATACTGGCCCTACCCCAGGAACATGGGCCGAGTTTCCTTCCCACTCTGGGCTATACCCAGGCCCCAAGGTCACAGGTGGCACCTATAGCCAGTGTCCTCGACTTGAACATTATGGACAAGTGCAGGTCAAGCCAGAACAAGGGTGCCCAGCGGGGTCTGACTCAACAGGACTGGCACCCTGCCTCAATGCACACCCTAGTGAGGAACCCCCATGCCCACAGCCTCAATTCTCCCACTATCCCCAGCCTCCTCCCCATCAATATCCCCAGTCAGGTTCCTACCCTCAGCCACCCCCCGATTATCTTCCTTCAGAACCCAGGACTGGCCTGGATTTTGATTCCCCTGCTCATTCCACAGGACAGTTCAAGGCCCAGCTAGTGTGTAATTACGTTCAGTCTCAGCAGGAGCTACTCTGGGAGGGTGTGGGCAGGGGAGAAGCCCCCGTCCAGGAACTTCCCTACCAGAATCCCAAGTTTCTGGGGAGCTCCCAGGTTAGCCCAAGCCCTGCCAAAGCCCCAGTGCCCTCATATGGAACTGGATTTGCACCCAACTTGCCCAATAACAAGCCAGGGTCTTACCCTACCCCTTCACCATGCCATGAAAATTTTGCAGTGGGGGCAAACAGGGCTTCCCACAGGGCAGTGGCACCACCCCGGCTTCTGCCTCCATTGCCTACTTGCTATGGGCCCCTCAAAGCGGGAGGTGCCAACCCCAGCTGTGGCCATCCCGAGGTGGGCAGGCTGGGTGGGGGTCCCGCCTTGTACCCTCCTCCAGAAGGGCAGGTATGTAACCCTCTGGACTCTCTTGATCTTGACAACACTCAGCTGGACTTTGTGGCAATTCTGGATGAGGCCCAGGGGATCAGTCCTCCCCCCTCCCATGATCAGAGGGATACCTCTGAGCATACCCCATCTCCCTCTGGGCCCCCCAACATGGCTGTGGGTAACATGAGTGTCTTACTGGGATCCCTACCTGGGGAGACACAATTCCTCAACTCTAGTGCCTGAAGGGTAGAGAATCTTGTCCATCAGATCTGCATTTCCTAAAGGGTTTCCATCCCTCCAGAGGAGTTGGGGAGAGGAGCCATAGCTCTCTGCATAAGATGCTCCAGGGATGAGAAATAAGGGCTGGGGCAATATTTAGTCTGTATATGTTTTGGGGAGGAACTTGATAATGACACTGTTTCCTGATAATAAAGGAAGTGCATCAGAAAGAACTGCTTCATGTGTTATCTCAGGAAAGGAATAAGAAAAGAAGGGGGTTCAACCTCCCATTTTCCTCTCCAGAGAGTTCCCCCTACCAGATCATAACCCCACACATCAGACCCAGGGAGATGGAGATTGTAATTTGGGAGACAGGGTTTATAGGAATGTTCTTAAAACAACATCCTGCTTCCCACCCCAAAGTCACCCAACAGATCCTTTGAAAGTGTTTCCTCCTCTTCTCCTGATCTTAAAACAACATCCTGCTTCCCACCCCAAAGTCACCCAACAGATCCTTTGAAAGTGTTTCCTCTTCTCCTGGGTCAGGGGAAGAGGCTGGTGAAGTCAGTGAGCATCAGCTGGACCAGCTGCCCAGGGTAGAGTGCGTGAGCTGCTGGGTCAGATGTCTCCTGCTCTGGCCGACACAGGGTTGGTCCAAACACAATCCCCAGATTGTGGGGGGTCATACGGTTCTTATCTGAGTGTTCTATCACCCTGGAGGCAAAGGCCAAGGGAAAAGGAAATAAAGTAGCATCTTGTCAATTCCATCTAACTTTAAATTGTTCTAGAGCTGGGGATTTAGCTCAGTGGTGCCACTGCCTGCCTTGCAGGCACAAAGACCTGAGTTCAATCCCTGGTACCAAAAATAATAATAATGATAATAAGGTGTGCTAACTGCTCACTCTGGGTTCCCTCTATGGCTGAAGGAACCCAGGGCAAAGCCTCAAGGGGAACAGAGATGGACCATTGGAGACACATGCAGGAAATAACTGATGCATTCCCTACTTCAGGGATGGCTCCTGGAGTCGTTTTTGCATTTAATTTGGGAGGCTTTGAGTCAGATGAACATCCCCTTTCAGAAGGGGATGAGCCCAGGCCTAGCTCAGCCTAACAAGTATCACCACTGTCCCAATGGCAGGCCAAAGCAGGGGGAAGGAAGAGGCAAGATGTTCCTTATTTCTCTCAGCATTCCTGGGCTTGTCTTGGTTCTACCTTCCGTTTGATGATGAGCTATGCAAAGGCTTTGACAGAAGTTTCCTGCCCTCTAAACTTAGATATTTCTTTATTTCTGTCCATCTAAACAGAGTCCCTGCCACAGGCCACAGGCACCCTCCCCAGCATGACAAAAAAAGATGTAGTCTTTGTTACCTGCATAAATGCTCCAAGAGGTGCCTTAGAGTGTCACAATTAGGCTTTGGCATCGACTCTATTAATCCTTGTATTTGAGAGAGGCGCTCCTCTGATTTGGAGAGTGCTGGAGAGAGAATAATGGGTAGGGGATAGGTTAGGGGAACTACTAGGACAGGGTGAGTAAATTCATTACTCTTCCCATGTCCATGGAAGATGTCATTACACTAGCGCAGCCTTTTCTTTCCGTACTGGGTGGTTGAAGCCAGGACCTTCCTTTTACATACCAAGTATGCAGTTTACCACTGAGCTACACTCCCAACCCACACACAGCCCAATTACAGTTTCAGAATCAATCTTTTCAACTCAACCCTCTAAATATTCACCAAAACAGCAAAGCATCTGTGGTACAAGCCTGTAATTCCAGCACCCAGGGAGGCTGAGGCCAAAGGATAGAGTTTCAGGTCAGCCTGGGCTATATAGTAGCCTATCTAAAAACAAAACAAAACAAAAAATAACAAACTCCCTCAAAACTGGAGTTAGAAAAATTTTTTTTTTTTTCTCCAGCTCTGTGATCAGGATGGAAGGGAGTCTCTCTTCTTCACTAGGCATGTCCCCCATATCAAAGGTGTTGTCCAACCCTTACCAAGGGCAGCACGAAAATGAGGCAGCAGCTGTGAAGGCACCAGAGGCTGGGGCAGCTCCCGGAGAAAAAGCTTCAGGGCTCCAGTGACCACATGAATATCATCCCATTCAGCATTGTCCAAATCTAGTCGGCCTTCTGGAGGGAAAAGGAGATTCAATGGGTTCAAGACTCATGGACGGGCCAGAGAAATCCAGGAGAGGTCAGGAGCTCTGGAGAAATCCAATCAAAGCAGACCACAGGCAGACCCTGAGAGTCCATAGGGGGACAAGATAGCAAAGGTGGGGATAGGGACAACTTTCCCAGGAGCAAGACATGAGAGAACCCATGGAATCAAGGAGGGTACAGCAAAGCTTCAGGGCTACTTTCACGTAAGTACCTTGTCCTGGCTGTTCTGGGAACATATACCTCCCATCAGAGGTGACTGCCCGCTCTGCAACATGTGTAAGAAGAGATCAGGCACTAAGTTGTACAGTTCCAGGCAGAAACATGTTCCAGCCCCCGCCCAGTAGCACCCCCAGTTCAGAGGCATGGAATTCTTAGTACCCCTACTCACAATCCTTCTTACCTCTATCCACCAGAAAGCGAAGTTTTTGGACTACTGCCAAGTTCCCGCTCACCCTGTAAATGCCATCAACATCTAGACCTAGGAGACCAGGAAGGAAGCAGATAAGGATCCCTGTTCTAAAGTGTGTGTGGTGAGGGACACTAAGGGATGGGGGGAGGAAAAAGGTGGTATAAGATGGTGCTGGGGGGAGGCAGCTTGTTGAAAGGGAGAGATGCTGGAGTCTCTGGGAAAATGACCTCTTTTATCCACAGCCGCAATGCAGAGCCGCACAAAGCTAGGCACCGTGTTCCCTTCCCGCTGGCACAGTGATTCCAACTGGCAGCCGAACACTTGATCTGGGGAGGCAGAGTAAGGTGGGGGGTAGTGTCAGCTCACCCAGAGAAGCTCTTCCTGCACAGGTCTTTTCCCCCAAGTGTCATGGCCTTCCTGCTGCTTGTGCCCCACCTGAGCAAAGAGGCATTCCCCTGCCCCTCAATAATCAACGGGAGTGGAAAAAGCAAGAGTGATGAGAAGACTGGTATGGGTATGGGAAGCTCTACTCTGAGCCTCTCTGGTTTTCTAGTCTGTGAAATGGGCTGATACCAGGTCAGAAATGTGAAAGTATTTGTAAAAACATTAAAACAGCTGGGCGTGGTGGAACACACCTGTAATTGCAGCACTTGGGAGGCTGACACAGGAGGACTGCTGTGAGTTCAAGGCTAGCCTGGCACACAGTGAGTTACATGTGAACTATATGTGGGCCACACAGTGAACTAATGTGAAATCCTGTCTCAAAAAATACCACTAAAACAGGCACAGGCACAAAAAGCATAAGGCCAGAGCTGGTTCACACCACCCACCTCGCAGCAGGCCCCGCTCCTGAAGGCTTTGCAAAGGAGGTCTCTTGGCAATTAGCCGCTTTAGCTTGTTTCGCACGCGGTTCTGCTCAGTGCCTTCAGGACACCGACCTGTAGGAGGCAGGTAGAACAATTCCAAGCCCAGGGGCAGCGCCCGACTTCCCTCCGCGCCCCAGGCCAGGCCTTCCCCGGCCCGCCCCATACTGGAGCCGCGGCGGCTGCTGAACCGCAGCAGCAGTTTGGGCACCGGCTCCAACTCCTCTTCCTCATCCTCCCCGGCGCTCAGTTCAGCCAGTTCTGCCGGTCCAGAGCCAGACAGACGCAGCTCCAGGGGGTTCTCCCGGTCCTGCACCCGGGGAGGCAGGGCGAGCCGGGTAGGAAGTTAGAAGAGAGGTCAAAAATCTACACCCCTAGCTGAAAGTAAGGAGACCCTAGCCCGCTGTCAGGGTCCCACGTCCTAGGTCTCTTACAGGCCCAAGACTATACTGAGACAGCTCTGCCCCCAGAGGCCCCTGACTCATATTGTCCCTACCCCACTTCCGTGGCCGCGGCCAGGCCACGCCTCTCCCAAGTCTCCCACCCTTCTCACCCACCAGCCGCTGGATGACCTCCTGCAGCGCACGGTGCCAGGCTCGCAGCTCACTCTCCTGCTCCGACTGCAGCAGGAACTCGTGGCCAGGGACTGTGCGGATCTGCGGGGGTGCAAGGAAGGCTTGGTTCAGCGGCGAGGCTCCCCAAAGGCTGGGAGGCCGAGCAGGAGACCGACTCTGGAGGCTGAGAGCGCGCCCTCGGGGCGGGTGGGACTTGGGGACGAGCAGGACGGCACTCACGTGCAGGACGTTGCGGCGACTGGACAGGTGGCGGCCATGCGACAGGGCTGCCCCGCGCAGGTCCACGCTACTTTCCGGCCGGCTACCCGCTGGTGCCTGGCCATTAGGGGAGAAACTGAGGCTGCGGAGTTGTTTCCCCCACAGCTTCCCGCTCACCCGGTGGGTTTCGAGGAGGTGGGGGCTTGATAATTTCTTCACCTTCTTTGGCTGGCTTCGCCCTCTCCACCTCCCCCGCCACAGTCACCCGCGGCCGGAAGCAGCGCCCCTCCCGTCCCCCCACTCACCCAGCCAGTGGAGGGCGCCGTTGGTGGCGGCGGCTCCCTGTAGAACACCAGACTGTTACCCGCCAACACCACCCAAGCCGGGGCCCAGTTCTTCCTGCGCAGGCAGAGCAAGGTGAACAAGGTTGTGAAAAGCCAATTCTCTTTGGAGAATTACCCACAGGGACAGTCCGTAACACCCGGCTCCACCCCACGGAATCCAGTAGCCCAGGTCCCCGGTGGATTTGGGGTTTCCTCACCTGAGCTTGCGCCCCCCTTGGGCAATTTTGGTCATATTGAGCAGGCCCGACTTTTCCACTTCCTGGGAATGGGAGGGGGTCGTATCTGTAACCACCCTGTGCTGCCCACCGCTGCCAAGGCTTTCCCTAAGGCGTCTCCCGGGAGTGAGGTCCCTTAAAGCTGGGGGTGGGGGAGCTGGATAAAAGAGGATGCCCAGAAAGCGGAAGATGTGTTTGAGGAGCAGGAATAGGGGTGGGGCGGGGAGGTTCTGGGCATTCAAAGGACAGGCAGACTCACATGGGGGTCTTCCAGGAGCTGGGGCAGACCTCGGGGGCGCTGTAAGGCTGGAGGCTGGTCTGAGGGAACAAGCTGGGAGCTACATTGGTCTCGGCAGGGTGAACCCTGGGGGAGGGATTGAAGAAACAGGTGGAGTAATTTTCAGTTTGGGGGACCCTGGCTATAGGAGTAAGAGGGGTGCACATATGGGTAAGAGGCAGGGGTGTTATGAGTACTGAAGGTCTTTCATAAAAGAGAAAGTCGTAAAAAACTAGCTTTTTTCTGCATGTTTTGGGGAGGTAGGAGGGGTCTCACCTGTGGGTCAAGCAGTTCCAGGGTACCTGTGTCAACTCCCAAGCCCTTTGCCTGAGGTTGCAGGACATTGATGTCCCTATTCAGGGTCTGTGTCCCCTCCATGGAGCCAGGGTTCTAGGTTTAGGGTAAGGGGAGATAAAGCTACATGCAGATGCCACTTCAGTAGCTCTCAACACCCTTCTCACAATGGCTGCTTCTTTTGATCTAAGAGCCCCAGAGAGAAAACATACTACCTTGAGGTTCAGTGGAGAAAGGAGGAGATTGAGGAGGCTATGGGTCAGGCAGGAGGAAAGGTCTCACCTTGTCTTGAGTGCGACTGCGGCGGGGAGGCTTCCAGGACTTGCAGCCAGTCAGTGAGTTTATGTAGAAGCAGCGTCCAGAGTTGGGGTCCAGGTGCTGTTCCCAGGCATCCAACTTCTGCAATAGGGGGCATGCAGGGTCTGAGGGAGGGGATCGGGGACAGCGGCGAAGGTCCACCAAGTTATTGTACACAGGGGGCTCTGACATGAGAGGCTGGGGTCTTGCCTGTCAGAAAGGAGAAAGGAATAAGTGATTATTCTGCCTGTAACCCAATCTTCTCTCCCCAACACTATCTCCTCCTCCCTCCCCCACCATTTTCTCACCACCAGCTTCTAGACAGGGTGACTCAGGTACAGGGAGACAAACCCCAGTCCCTGGACTGCTTTTTAAAAAACGTTGTCTCCCTCAGTCTTTGCTTTTCTCCTCACTTCCGGTTGCCAACTTCCCTCCGCCCCCACCCCCTCACCACTGCCCTAAGCCGCAGGAAAGGGGAACAGGCTCGGGGCGGTGGCAGGGGGGTGTG